CTTGCCTCTTTTTATCCACCTTCCCTTCTCCTCCCTTTCTTTCCTTTCCTCTACTCCTTCTCCTGTCCTCTTCTTCTCTATGTCTCTATTCCCTTCCCTCCCTCTCTCTTCCCTTTCTTTCCTTTTCTCCTCTCCTAGTCTATCTTTACCTTTCTTCCCCTTCTTTCCTTCTCTCCCCTTTCCAGTCCTGTTTTCTTCTTTCCCTCATTTCCCTTTCCCCTCTGCTAGGGCTATCTTCACCCTACCCAGCCTGAGGGCCCCACTCTCCTGAATAGGACACATTTTTGACACTCCTAAAATTAAAAAAGAGAGCAAGACAGCAAATGGGTAAAGAGAGGTTGAGGTAGAGAAATACTGTTTATTGGAAAGTGAGCTGGAGTTTTCCATATCAGTGGAAAGAATACAGCAAAGTAGCTTTGAAAAGCCCCTCATTCCCCATAGCAGGCAGGAGGACCAAGAGCAGAGGACTTTGCAGTTCCTAAAAAGAATCCCTTGGAAATTAAATAACAGGCTTTCTAGCCTCCTCCCCTCCCTCACCTCTGAACAAAGTGTGAATGAAGCAACCTTTCCCTCTTATGGCTGCTTTACACCTCCCTTCCCCCCACCCCCTGCCTTAGTAATTTCATTTTATAAGAAAAGCAATTCCATCATCCTTGTTATCTCTTCCCAGGCCGTATGAGATGATAATAACACTACTTAGGCTTTTTCTAGAACCTTCCCTACAACAAATCGCTATCCAGCAGCCAGAGAGGTATGATTCAGCAGTCCTTTAACAGGAAGGAAAATGAGGCGTTAAGGTAGAAAAACAGGACACAGCATGCAGGGAGCATCCCAAAGCTGGTGTGTCAGTCTGTGTGCTTTTGGCCACACTAGGAGACAAAACAGACTATCTGTCCATCTGACCAGCCAGGTGCTGGAATGAAGTCTTGGGAAATCACAGGGGAGACCCAGGGCAGGATCATTCCCCAAGGTGGGAGACATTTGCCCTGGCAGAGCAGAGCAGGTCCCATCCACGAGAGGCTCTCCCCTTCATTATTCCAGGCTAAGCCAAGCCAAGATGAGAAGAATCCATGGGCAAAGCAGTGGTCCTGTGTCCATACAACAGACAGTTGCTTTACAGGTGTTTTAGAAACAGGCGGATATTCTGATCGCCAATGAGAACCCTGAGGAAAAGAACAAACCCACTGAGGAAAGGTCCTGGTCATCTGCAGAGAACTTTATTCTGATAGGATGGGGTTCGGGGGAGAGGGGGGCGATGGGGGCGATGGAGGCAGAGAGAGCATTGAATTCCTTTTAATTGTCACAAAAATTCACCTGATTCCTGTTCCCTCACCTTTAATATTCAGAAGATTTTTGGAGTCGTTGGATCTTAGAACTGGGGAAATTATCTAGTTCAAACACATCATTTTATAGGGATTCCAAAGTGGAAAGGTGACTTGCCCAAAACTATTCAGCAGTAGAGCTGGGGCCGAACTGAAACCCACGACTCTGTCTAAACAAAAGAAGCGCCCCAACCCCAAGTTCAGTTTAGGGATCACTGTCCATCACTGTGACTGGGAACAATGTACAGAATCCCAGTGCTATAAATAATAATGAATGACCCTTAAATGTTACCTTAGGGTCTGCGAACCATTTCATAAGGCTGAGAGGCAATGCTTGTCCCTCTGAACTGGTGCTCCAGGCATTGTCATACTAATTTTATAAATAAAGCTTGAATCTTGCCTCAGATTATGTACCAGCAGTGGGACCAGGTGGCAAGCCACTCAACCCTTCTCAGCCTTGGTTTCCTCCTCTCTAAAATGGACGTGAGAGGCAGCTTGGCATAGTCAATAGAGAGCTAGCCGGAGAATCGGGAAGACATGTGCTCAAGCCCGCCTCAGGCACAAATTGGCTTTGTGACCCTGGGCAAGTAACTAAACCTCTCAGTGCCCCCATAAGTAGAATATTCAGGTAGGTGCCCATCTGCACGGCCAGTTGTCTCTCAGTGTCTCTGAGTCTCAATGCCCTTATTATCAAAGTGAAGGGACCCCTCGTGTCCTGCGCATTCTATGATTCCTCATGTCTACTTGGAAGGATTTGATCTTCCCCTGAGCATGATGGCCCAACTCAGATGCGCTCTCTCTCTCTCTCTCTCTCTCTCTCACCTTATCAGTATTCCTGTGATCAGGCTGGCTGCCAGTGGCCCCACCCAGTACACCCATTGGTACTGCCAGTAGCTGGCCACCACGGCAGGCCCAAAAGCTCGGGCAGGATTCATGCAGGCTCCAGATATAGCCCCTCTGTGAAGCAACAGAAACACACGTCTGTACCTATACTTGCCTACTTGTTCTCATACACACACACACATATAAACATGCACTGGCTGGCCCCCATGACTGGCAAGCTGTCCTTCATCACCTCCAACTCTTAACTTTCTTGGCTTCTTTCGAGACTCAACTCAAATCCAACATTCCACAAGAAGCTTTTCCCAGTCCTCCCCTCTCAGCCCCTTCCCTCCAAAATAACTTTCCATTCATACTGTACAGGGCGTCCCAAAAGTCTCAGTGCAATTTTAAATTACTAAAGTTTAAAATAGCACTGAGGGGCAGCTAGGTGGCGCAGTGGATAGAGCACTGACCCTGGAGTCATGAGGACCTGAGTTCAAATCCAGCCTCAGACACATAACACTCACTAGCTGTGTGACTCTGGGCAAGTCACTTAACTCTAATTGCCTTACCAAAAAAAAAAAATCAGCACTGAGACTTTTGGAGATACCCTGTACATATCTTGTAGATACATGGTTATTTGCATGTGTTCTCAGCCATTTGAATATGAGCTTCTTGAGATCAGGGGCTGTGTTCCCTTTCCATTTGTATTCTCAGGGCTTAGCAGAGGGCTTAGCATATAGTAGGTGGCTAATAAGTGCTGGCTGGCTTGGCACATTCAGTATTCACCCTGGAGTTTAAGGTAAATCACAGTTTTTCACATGTCATCACAATCTCCAGGGTATTTCTACAATGTATTCATTTTCCTGTCAAGTCACATCAAGGGTCCCCATTGGCTTAGGGAAGGAAAAAATCCCAATTTGTTCCCAGACTGCTAGAGAAGGCAACAGTGATAAGAGTATAAGTCTTAAAAACCTTAGGTTCTGATTCTGGCCCAAAAGCTTACTAAAATGCTTACAAAATGTGATTTTGGGAAAAGCATTTAACCTTATTGAACCTCTAAAAATGGATATGAGATCTAGCATGGTATAACAGAGATTTGGTCCTAGAGTCAAGAAAACCTGGGTTCAAATCCTGCCTCTTATACAGACTGGCTGTGTGACCAAGTCACTCACTCTTTCACAGCCCCAAATAATGTTCTAAGATTATTAAGATAAAGAGCAGATGCTAATCATCTTGGGCAGAAAGAATTTCCTTACTGGCAGTTCCCCATACCAATAAAATCAAGGGTCTGGCCCCTATCTCCATCCCTAACTTATTAATAATGATAATTATAATTCATTTAAAAAGATTTTTGAGGTTTAAGATGTTTTCCTCCCAACAATTCTGCAAGTTAGATTGTGTAAATATTATCACCTTCTTACTGACGGTAAACTGTGGCTCAGGGAAGTTAGTTAAGTGTCTTGAGTATTGGTACAAAGCTCTAAGCCTGAACTTTGCGGGAATTCATAAAATCCTGGATTGAGAGCTAGAAGGGACCATCAAGTCCATATGGTCGAACACTTACATTTTACAGAGCGAAATGAAGTAACTTGCTGAAGGTGAGGCAGACAATAAGTGAGATTTGAACCCAACTCCTCTGGCTCCAGAGACAGAGCTCTTTACCACTGTGTCATTCTGCTTTTCTCAAACCCAGGTCCCCTGACTCAAAGACTGGTGGTCTTTCCAAAAGACCATGCCCTGCCTCCTGCAGCTTCCAATGAGAGAGTCCCTGAAGCTGGGCGTCACCTAAGTCCCCTCCTTCCTTTAGGCCTGGACTAAGTTCCCATTCTTTTGACTGTTCCCAGTATCCCTCTGCTGCTGCTAACTCAGCCAACCATCCCACCTTTTATGACTCAACTCACCCTGCTAGGATGTCCACAGTCACAGCAAAGCCAATGCAAAATGGAGCCAGTGGGCTCTTGCTCTTTTCGTTGACGGCTGCCATACAGACGGTCAAGAGCAGTAACAATGTCATGATGACCTCAGCTACCACAGCACCACCCACCTGGTCAGCCCCTCTAATGGTTGTAAAGGCTGCCCCAGAAGCATTTAAGAACCTCTCTTCTGTGCTCACCGCCTAGAAGGAAAAACATCTCCATTAGGGTAGAGACCAAAGCAACAGGATCCAAGTAAACAGAGTGCACAGAGAGAGAGACAGACAGACAGACAGACATGGACACAGACACAGAGAGAGAGGGAGAGATACAGATAGAGACAAAGAGAGGCTTGGGCCAAGGGAAGAGGGACAGGAATGTAGAAAAACAAACGAGATCCCCCTTATGTTTCAAAAATTGACAAGCAAAGGTTGTCCACTTATCTTTCTTCTGGAAGACTAGGTGCAGGAGCAAATGAGCTGAGTTGTTTGCCAAAGTCTTGAGAGTTTAGATTAGATTGGAACAAGTGGATGAACCCCAGCTTACTTTATCTCAGCCACAAATTAATCAAACGTACAGCTGCACTCTAACTCAGGTAGCATAGGCAGAAGGGGAACAGAAGCTTATTTACTTCATCTTCTTTGCAAAGAGACACACACACAACCCAGAAGAAAGGCCCTCAGCCTATTGGGTGGACCTCTTGGGATGAACTCAGAGGAGGACATGGCTAGGGATCACACAGAGTGGAAAGGCATGGATGGATTTTGATCCCAGTCATTGGAAGAAGTGTCCATATCAATAGGATCATGGATTCGTTGGAGTATGTCACACATCTTCAACAGGCCCTAACCTCCCCAGGAAGGAAGAAAATGAGTTGAAAAGAAAGAGAGAATTCAAAAGAACATGGTAACAGAGCAAAGGGGCTTTACACTGAGTTCCCAATTATTTTTTATAGTTCCCAAAGCTACAGTAGAGATCTAACCAATGGCTCCCAATCTGTACCCCACCCCCATAGACCACTGTAGGACCTTGGACATATTGCAAAAATTTCCACAATCAATATGCAAATCTACAAATAAATAAATACCAACTTCTGTAGACTGAATGTCTCCATACATATAGATATTACTATTTTTCAAAAGTATGTTGTAATTAACAAAATGAAAATTCATTTGAAAACATTATTGGATTCATAGTAGCGTTTATCCACATATTTTCTCAATTGATGGATTCTAATGTCATAGCTACTATTGTGTAGAGATCACTGAAAAAAAAATTTTTATCTTCAGATAGGGTTATCACACACCAAAAAATTGATAGCACTAGATTTATCTAAGATTTGTCTAGATAGCCTGGCAGAGCTCAAGAGCCATTCGAGATAGGCTAAGATTTAGGCAGCTGATGCCTCAGTGAGCATGGGGAGTGAACAAATGATGAGAACATTTAAGAATTCAGTGGGTGGTTTGTTTGCCTTATCCTACATAAGTCACTATGTGCCCACCTACCTTGGCTAAAGCAGCTCCTATGATCCCTCCACACAGTTGGGAGACACAGTATGGGATGAGCATCATGTAATTCAGGCCTCCAATCAACATGACAGCCAACGAAACTGCTGGATTGAAATGACCACCACTGTAACCAATGGAAACGAATGAATGAATGAATGAATGAATGAATGAATGAATGAAAAGCATTTAATAAGCACTACCACAACTCTGCCCCCTCTGCAGCTTCTTCCTGCAAGAGCCAGTGTTATGACCAAGGCAGCATTAAGTAGTAAAAAGAGCTCTGGATTCCAAATCAAAGTTCAAATTCAGCCTCAGCTGTGTGACCCTGGGCAAATCACTTAACTTCTGTCTTCCTCCATTTTTTTAACTGTAAAATAGGGCTAATAATAACAGCATCTGTACCCGGGGTTGTTGTGAGGATAATAATTGCAAAGTGCTTTGCAAACTTTAATGTGTTACATAAATTCTAGCTCTTATTAACATTAAAGCTTTCTTCAAAGCCTTAGCAGAAGTTAGACAAACACAGCTCCCTCTCTCCCCTCACACCAAGAGATGGGGTCCCTGCCAACCTTCCCAAGCCTATTTTCGCCCTCCAAATTTGCAGCCCTTCAACCCCATTGGCGTTCACAGCCTCTTGTCCCCAGTAAGGCTCATTGATCACCAGTTCTTGAACTCTGGACATCAGCCACCCTTATGTTAGTTCAGACTTAAAAATAAATGTGACTCTGGCACCTGCTGTAGAATTCCTGCTGCCCTCTCCACTTGTCCCCCGCTCGCTAGTCTCGAAACAGATATAATGAGGCAAACTGAGAGTTTCTTACTAACTACTAAGAAGTCAGATTGTAGCTGAAGGGGAGAATGTCACAAAACAAACTCAAGAGTTCCTAAGATTCATGCAGAACACAATGTGCTGAATCTACTCTCTAACTCAACCAGGCCCTAGGGCGTGGGGCCCCTTGTCCAAATACCTAGATTCCTGTCCTCCCCCAGCATACAACAGCTATATTCAGGCCACATCCTATTTCAGCCAAACTCAGTAGACTGAGGATCCATCTTCTAGATGCCCATTGAAAATCTGAGCTTTTATAGTTGTTCAGGGCTAAGTCTCCAAAGAGTATCAGAAGGATGTCTGATAGACCCATCAGTGGGCCATTCATGGGGGCAGCTCAGTGACAAATGGCTGGATATGTAGTCATTAAGACCTGAGTTCAAATCCTATCCCAAATACTTGCTAGCTGTATGACCTTAGGCACTTTTGCCTGTCTCAGTTTCCTCATTTGTAAAATGGGGATAATAACAGTACCTACCTAATTCCTAGGGTTGTTGTGAGCATCAAATGAGATAATATTTGTAAAGCACTTTGCAAACCTTAAAGCAGTCATGAATGCTAACTATTATTGTTGTTAATAACCCAAGACTGATATCCACCAGGTAAGCCACACATCTCCAGACCCAGTATGATCTGAGAATGTGAAAGAGGGGAAAAGTCAGGACAGTCTTAGGTCCATCTCAATCCATCAGGACACCAGCATTACACCTCATGAAGAGCTTCTGTTCTTTGAAGAGGATAAATCAAATGCCAAGTCCCATTATTATTGATAGGGATACAAATGGGGCCTGCACAGTTTCAAGGCTGGTCTAAACTCTGGGCCCTTTAATGGTTTTATGGTAGTAATGTTCAGATGGATGAGGAGGGCAGTATAGAACTACTCAGGAGACAGATTTTGGAATATTTTCATAATACCTCCAAACACAAAGCCGTTGGCCAGCCCCCAAAGAGCCCACTGGTCTCCATTTCTCCAGGCCCGTTGAAGTTCAGGTTACCTGCCATTGGTAAGTGAGAAAGCCAGATCCCACAGATCATTACTCTTCCTGCGAGAAAGCTGGATGGAATTCTGCATTGGCTGTTCATTCAATTGTTTTATTTCTACCAGTTCTTGGAATGGTGGCTGGCATATAGTAGGTGCTTAGTAAATGTTTAGTGATTGGTCAGTTGATTGATTTTGTCCTAAATACACGTCATGCACACAAACAATTAGAGGAACATAGGGTAAAAAGATTCAGAGCTAGAGGAGACCTTAGGGTAATCTAGCCTAGCCCTTCATTTGGCAGATGAGGAAACTAAGGCCCAGAGAAATTAAGCAACTTGCTTAAGGCAATAAGAGGAAGAGCTAAGATTTGCTTTCCAAAGTCATCTTCTTTCTACTATACCATGTTGCCTCCTTCAAATTCTATTCCAAATTTCTTAGAAACCTGATTTTTTTTAATCCACCTACTAACATATATTTTGTGGACAAGATCAAAGAATCACACATTCAATCATTTCAATGAAATAGCCTACATTCACTTGAGAAGTTAGCAGGGCTCACAAGCTAGTGGATCTTCCATTTAAAATTTCATAATCTAATGGAAGTCAGAGGCCACCCTGGGAAAAGAGAAATGCTCCCTGTGGTTAACAGCGTAAAACAGGACCATGGATTGAGAGCTGGAAGGACACCCAGTCCAACCCTTGTTCTTCGGATGAGGAAACAGGTCCAGGGAAGATAAGTGACTTGGTCAAGGTACCCAGGTTGTGACAGAGGCAGGGTTTGAACTCAGGTCCTTTGACTCCAAAGCCAGCACTCTTTCAACTGTAGGTCCCAGAGAAATGGCTAATTAGATTTACTTGGCATGCCCAATCCCTGGCTTTGCAGAAAGCACCAAAGAAGCTTCCTTATGCATCTCCATGTGCCATGATCCAGCTCCATTGGCCCACTTGCTTTTCCTCTCCCAGGATGCTCCATCTTCCATCTCCATGATATTACACAGGCTGTTCCCCCATCCTGAGAATGTTTTCCCTTCTCAAATCTACCTCTTAGCTTCCCTGAGCTCCTTCAACACTCAGCTCAGATCCCATTTTCTGCAGGAGGCTTTTTTGTCCCCTAAAATGCTAGTGCCTCCCCTCTGAGATTATCTTTCCTCTTTTTTGCATGTATCTTGTATGAACCTAGTTGTTTACCCATTGTGTCCCTCATTAGAACGTTTGTTCCTTAGGAACAGGGATGGTATTTTTGCCTTTCTTTTTATCTTTAGCACTAAGCACAATATCTGGCATATAGTAAAATTATCAGCAAATAATTATTGACTAACCTCACATGCCTTTGATTCACGAGACCTTATGATCATATCAGCAGCTTTGAGAACACACTCCTCCCTTGACTGTTTCTCCCTCTCCACCTTCACTCCCTTGGTTTTTTCCTGTCTGACTGTCTATCTGCAACTCTGGGTTTGACTTTATCAGCTATCTCACCCTTGGGTGGAGGGGAGAAAAGACAGCAGCAGCCTCCAGGGTGCCCAAATAACTGTGAGCAGGGAAATCACCCCAAAGCACAGAAATGAGAGGGTGAAAATACCATCTGTTTGGATCTGGCTTTTAAAAGCAGAAAATTAGTTGGGAAAAGCACTAGGCCTGCCATCGGAAGTCCTGTGTCGAGGTCTTGGCTCTCCATGACATTGGCCCAATTTCCTCATGTGTAGCCCTACCTACCACACAAGGTTGTTTTGAGGAAAGTGTTTTAGAATGTTAAAGCTCTATATGATTTCAAAATGAAGAAGTTTGAAGGATTTGATGATTTCTGATCTCAGATGATATCAAATCTAACCTCCTCATTTTACAGATGAGGAAACTGAAGCCAGAGAGGTTAAGTAACTTGCCCAAGGGTCACATAGCTAGTAAGTGTTTAGGGCATGGTTCAAATCCAGGTATTCTTGACTCTAAGTCCATCACTCTGCCAATTACAGTATACTGTCTATCAAATGGCTCTATGGTCCCTATTTATGGTGACCTGATCCCTGGAAGTGCTGATCTGAATATGGGCTCCATGTGACACCCAAGACAGGCAGGGCACAGTTCCATGGACTTTTGTCAAGGATCCAAGATTTAAAGATCCAAATCTTACCTGATCTTTCCCAAAAAGGCAATGGTGATGCCAAGGGCCAACCCATGTGCCAGTGCAGGCTGCAGCCGACCAACCCCTTCAGCATTCTCAATGACCGACAGGCAGCCAATGAAGATGAACAGAGCTGAGCCCAGCAGCTCCACTATGCAGGGCTGGAGGTACTTTTCATACCAGTGAAGCTGGTGCAAGTCACACCCACTCTCCAAGTCTTTTTCCTTCATTTTCATGTCCCCTGACTTTGATTCACACATAGGGACAGCTGGTGGAAAGAAAATACAGAAGTCAGTGGTTCTCAACGTCTTTGAGCTCCTCCACCACCTTGCCTAAAAAACAAAAATCCTCAGTCTCAAAATAATAAGACATGCACTTTTTCCCAGCCATCACCAGATTGTCCTTAAAAACAGCAGTCTCAGAATCATAAGGCATGCAGGTGAGCATCCACTCTGACACTTACTATCTATGTGGTCCTGGGGAAGACATTTCATTTCTTTGAGGTTCACACTCCTCATCTATAAAATGGAGACAATAATAATTCCATTACCTGGATCACAGGGATGTTGTGGGGGAAAGATTTTGTAACTTTTAAAGGGTTAGGAAAAATGAGAACTACTGTTATTATTAACAATAGTGATATTATTTTTTTTTAAAAAATGCACTAGAAATGGAACCCTGGACTTCCATACTCCAGGACTCAACCCTTATAGGGAAAGTTTCCCATGGGATCAAGAGGAGTTCCCATAGGCTGCCAACAGACCCATTTGGTTTCCAATTCAAAGAAAAATTTAAGAAGATTGTCAGAATTAAAGAGACAATAACATTGACAAACTTACGTTTTCCTATAGGTCCCCTTGTCTCAGAAAGCTGAAAGTGAATAGTCTAACTGCTTCTGTAGACTGAGGAAGTTCAATACAATCCCGTGCTGGAGGTATCTCCTAGGAATCAATGTCTTAGCGGCTCTGCTTGCCTCCTCCCAAAGGCTGAGCTTTTAAGAGGCTGGAGGATTTACCCTGGTGCTGAGACAGTCATAAAATAAAGGAGGGGGCTCCTCCAGGAGAGAGAAGTGGAAATTCCCTTTATCTCAACAAGGCTAGAGTTCAAGGATCACTAAGCTCTCTGCCAACAGAGGAAAATACAATGTCTTCTGCTATGTGATGTGCCCAGAGCCCTCTGTGAGATTGTATATGATCACAGGAGCCTGTGGAGAGGGGGACAGAGGCACTCAGGAAGGAGGGCCCAAAAAAGCCAAGAAAATCGAAGCCATTCATCTGTTTCTAAGATGGGTAGCCCTAAGACTGCCACATATCTTTAAAAAAGAGAGGCAAAGGGATGTAGCAGAAAGAATTCTGACTCCAGAGGAAGGAGACCAGAGTTCAAATCCCACTTCAGATACCTGTTAGCTGTGTAGAGGCTATCACTTATCACTCACAGCCTCAGTTTCCTCATCCATATAATAGCAATCAAAAATACCTGTGCTAATTGCTTTATGGGATTATTGGGAGGAAGGCACTTCATGAACCTTAAAGTGCTATAGAACTATGACTATTAGTATTTTATATTCATTTTATTATTGTTGTTACTTATTGACAACTTACAGTTCAATGGTACTTTACAAGTGTGAAATGCTTAACACACCTCATCTCATTTGATTCTCTTGACAGACAGCCTTGTGAGCTCATCACCGTTTGAAAGTTAAAGAAACCAAACCCGAGGGAGGTTCAGTGCCTTCCCCAAAGTATGACTCCTGTTATTAAGCTCCAAAGAAATAATCCTCCCAATGTCTCATTATAAAGGAATTATGAAACATTAGAGCCGGAAAGGACCTTAGAACACAGAAGGTTAGAGCTAGAAGGGATCTTAGAACAAAATACACAGATTATTAAAGTTGGACCCTAGAACATGGACTGTTAGAACTGGATCCTAGCACATGGACTGTTAGAGCTAGAAGGGACCTTAGAACACAGAATTTTAGAGCTAGAATAAATATTACAGCAGAGGAAGAGACACCGGACATTACCTACTATCTCAATGTCTGAGATGTCATAGCCAGTAGTTTTTGCTTTTTTTATGATTCTTCCTTTTTATTATCTTCCCTGACTTCTGAAAACTGAAGGTCTATTTTTCCCTGAGTTGGAACCAAATTTCATGAGTTAGTTTGTTTCCTGAATGGATATGAACGCTTCCAACCACAGGCCAATTTCTTTTATGCGCTGAAATCCTGGGCCAAAGCTTCTCTCACTCCCCCCTGCAAAAAAAAAAAACAAAACCTTTGTATTCTGTAACATTGGAAAGTCTAATTCCAACATCAAGCCAATAAGGTATTGCCCATTTTGTCAGCTAGTCTACGAGCAGAGTTGGGCTAGCATCCCAGGGATGTCTGGCTGTTACAGCTAACATACACTTCAGTAGGTCTCTCCTGTTTCAATGGTTCTATAAAAAATGAGGCAAGGTATTTGTGGGAAATAAATGCCTGCTATATGTAACTTTTTAGCACCTTTAAAGGCCTAAGGTTAGATTGGAAACAAAAATATTTATAATAAGCTGGGTTTGTTCATGTTATCATATTTGGGAGTCAGGACATCTGGGACTAGAGTCCTTACATAGTCATACGACCTTCGGTGAAACAGTCAACCTCTTTGCCCACGGTTTTCTCATTTACAAAAATGAAGGTTTTGAACTAGATGACATCTTTTCTTTTAATAATATTTTATCTTTCCCAATTACGTGTAAAAACAAATTTTAACATTCTTTTTAAAAAAAATTTGAGTTCCAAATTCTCTCCCTCCCTTTCCCCCCATGATTGCATATGCAATTATGCAAAACATATTTCCATATTAGTCATTTTGTGAAAGAAAACATAGACCAAACAAAAAAAAACACACAAAAATAAAGCGAAAAATAGTGTGCTTTGATCTGCATTCAGATTCCAACAGTTCTTTCTCTGGACGTAGGTAGCATTTTTCATCATGAGTACTTTGGAATTGTCTTGGATCATTGTATTGTTGAGAATAGCTAAGTCATGCACGGCTTATCATCTTACAATATTGCTGTTACTAGGGCCAATGTTCTTCTGGTTCTGTTCACTTCACTTTGTATCATTTCATGTCAGTCTTTCCAGGAGATGACTTACAAAGTCCCTTCAAGCTTGGATATTCTACTTTCTAAAGGTTTTTCCAGCTCATAAGTTCTATGACTTTCTCCATTCAATTTAGAATTTTGTTTTATTCACTGAAAAGGAACAGGAATAAGAATAAAATAAACTAACCAGAATCATATAGACCAGAATCAGTTTGGGCCACTTCTAGTATTGCAGACCCCTCAATAGCTTTTCTCTTTTTTTTTCTTTTTAGGCAATTGAGGTTAAGTGACTTGCTCAGGATCACACAGCTAGTAGGTGTCAAGTGTTTGGTCTCAAGGTGGATTTGAACTCAAGTCCTCCTGCCTTCAGGGCCAGTGATCTATCCACTGTGCCACCTAGCTGCCCAGCCCCACCTCAATAGCTTTTGAAGTTAAAGATGGTACATGAAAGTAAAATATTCCTTCTCTCCCCCTCGAAAAAAAGGGAGCCATAACTTGGAGACATATATATGTATATAAATATATATTTGTGTGTATATATATGTGTGTATGTCTATATATGTATGTATGTATGTCTATGTGTGTATAGACATAGATACATAGCTTTTAAAATCCTTTTTTTGTACATTTTCAGTCCCAATGCACTAATGATGGAGGGGGAGATCTACCTTTCCTGTAGTGTCACAGACGACATTAATCCTGGCATGGCTTTTCCACAGTTCTTGTCCTATAGCTGAATGGTGATAGCTCTTTACCTGCTAAAGTTCACACACTACGCCCTTGAGCTTGGATGCCAAGCCAAATGGTCCTCCTCTCAGCCCTGTCCCTCATGTAAGCCCTGAACTTGAGGCCTTTGTAACATTTTTTCACCCTATCATTTGTCATTCACTAGTATTCTGAATCAAAAGGTTCTCCAAATATCCTTCCTCTAGACTAGCACCAACTGAGGCTTTGCAAATGTTCATGATCCCATTTTTTCCCACAGCAGCCCTGCAAAATAGGTGCTATTATTTTCATGGCAAAGATGAGTAAATGAAGGCTCAGAGAGGATAAGTAATTGAAACAGGGCAACAAAACTAGGAAGTGACTAAGATAGGATATGAACTCACGTCTTCCAGGAGTCTATCAGCTTTGGTATTCTGCCTCTCAAAGAGGAATAAGGGGGTGGCTGCTACCCACTTTTCTTCCAAAGCAATAATACTCACTACCAGAGTCAGGACACACACCTTATTGACCTTGGCTATAGTACTAGGTAAAAAGAGTCCTTTGATGCCACCTGAGAGACAGCAATGATTACCAAGTAGCTCAAGACAGAAATATCCCTCCAGCAGAAAAGTTAATTTGTTAGGAGTGAGTCATTTATTGAAGACAGAAAATGGGCAATCTAAGATCTCTTTAATTCAGGAGTTCTTAACTTTGGATCCACTTGGGGTCCAGCTCTTATGGATGGATTTCAGGAGGTCCATGAATTTGTATAGGAAAAAAATTACATTTTTACTTTCACTAACCTCTAACTGAAATTTAGCATTTCATTCAATAATTTAAAACATCATTCTGAGAAGGGATCTATAACCTTCACCAGACTGCCAAAGAAATTTATCACACACATACACACACACACACACACACACACACACACAAACAAACAAATTAAAAACCCTATTTTTAGTGTAAAAAAATAGCCCAATATTCCTCATAACATTCTGAAGGCACCTATCCCTGCAGGTAGACTCATAACTTCCATTTAAGCCTTCCTCTGAATGGAACATGAATACAATTGAATATTACTGTGCTGTAAGAAATGAAAAATATCATGGCTGTAGAGAGAAGCATGGAAAGATTTACACGATCTAACGCAGATTGAATTAAACAATATATACAGTGCCTACAAAATGTAAACAGAAAGAACAACTGTATGAAAATCTGAAAAGCTACTAAGTATTTAAAAAGATATCTCATTTAAAGAATAATATACTTCCCCTACCTTTGATACAATGGCGGAGTTGTTAAGTATGTCTAAGCTAAGGAGTGGAGCAGAACCCAGGGTCACTGACCTATAAAGAAGTCATAGGATCAAAAGTTCAGAGAGTAAAGCCATCTATAGTCATATGAAAAAATGCTCTAAATCACTATTGATTAGAGAAATGCAAATCAAAACAACTCTGAGGTACCACATCACACTTATCAGATTGGCCAACATGACAAAACAGGAAAATGATGAATGTTGGAGAAGATGTGGGAAAATTGGAACACTAATGCATTGTTGGTGGACTTGTGAAATGATCCAACCATTTTGGAGAGCAATTTGGAACTATGCCCAAAGGGCTATAAAAATGTGCATATCCTTTGACCCAGCAATAGCACTTCTAGGGCTATATCCCAAAGAGATCATACAAATGGGAAAAGGACTCATATGTACAAAAATATTCATAGCAGCTCTTTTTGTGGTGGCAAAGAATTGGAAATTAAGAGGATGCCCATTAATTGGGGAATGGCTGAGGAAGTTGTGGTATATGAATGTGATGGAATACTATTGTGCTATAAGAAATGATGAACAGGCTGACTTCAGAAAAACCTGGAAAGACTTGTACGGTCTGATGCTGAGTGAAGTGAGCCGAACCAAGAGAACGTTGTACACAATAACAGCCACGTTGTGTAATGACTAATATTGATAAACTTAACCCTTCCTGGCAATACAAGGATCAAAGACATCTCCAGAGGCCTTGTGATGGAAAATGCTATCCACATCCAAAGAAAGAACTATAGAAGTTGAATTGCTATTTTTTTCTTCTCTTCTGTTGAGTTTTGTTTCCTCTTTCTGATGGTTCCTCCTATTGGTTTTAATTTTTATTTACAACATCACTAATGTGAAAATATGTTTAATATGAATGTAAAAAAAAAAGTTCAGAGAGTAATGAAGACTGAAGGATTTGAATATGGATTCTCTCATCATTGGGAATATCCAGATCAATAGAGCTTCCCAAAAGTGTAGACAAAATTACAGAGTTTATGGTCAAAGCAACCTGTCTATGATTTCCTCTTTCCATGTCAAGATGATCCTTATTGAAAAGGAACAGATTATTCCTAAACCAGAAGAGGAAGTTATTCACAAGATAAATATACCTCAAAGAAACGGAAGAAAGGAAAACTTAATGGCATTCAAGAATATAACATATTAACAAGCAAAAAATAATAATAATAACATTTGTTTTAAAAGAACAAGTCATGCCAGATAAGCCTCATTTCCTTCTTTGAAGGAGTTACTAGACCAGTGGAGCAGACAAATGCCATATCTATACAATTGTCCCTTTCACATTGCAACTTTCACCATCGCGGTTATAATGAGTCACAAGTCAGCATAAGAAATTAAATGGGAATTTCGGGGGGTGTTTTGCGGAAGCCACATGACATACAAAGGGCAGCAGATGACACAGAGCCTATGACCAAATACTTAACCCAAATTTTACAATAAAATAGTGTGAACAAGCCATAAAAGAAAAAAAAATCAGACTTCTTCTCTGGTATAATGGGAGGGTCGAAAAATTTTATGCAGATTTTCCAGATAGTGGGGGCACCATGCCCCTAACCCCTGTGATGTGGAAGAGATCATTGTAATATCCTTGGATTTGACCAAAGCATTTGACATATCTATGATTTTCTTTAGTCTGAGAGAACAAACTAAAAAATAAAACAGTTAATTAGAGTCAAAATTGATTAAACAACCAGTCCTAAAAAGTGATTAAGTTTTAATCAATGTTACTCTGGAGGTAAAAACCATAGTAGAGTGTTCTGTTCAAAATTTTCATCACTGACTTGGATAAAAACATAGTTTACATGCTTATCGAATATGCAAATAACACAAAACCGGGATAGATAACTAACATGTTGGATGACAGAAATAGAAATTGAGGCTGGATGTGAACTCAGATTTTCCTGACTCCAGATCCAGGGCTCTATCCACTATATCATCTAGCTGCCTCATAATAAAGTATGTGAGAATAAGTGCATAGATCAGGTCAAAGAGGGATACAGGATTCAATGAGGAAAAGATTATTCCTAGCTGGGGAAAGAGGAGAGAGGGAGGAGTGATCAAAGAAATCTTAATAGTCACCCCCTTCTCAGAAGACAACCAATGACTTGGATGAAACCCTAGAAACTATGTTTATCATATTTGCAGATGACATGAAACTATGAGAATTAGCATGTGGTATGACAGTTAATATCCCAAAAGTTCTTAAGAGACCAGGATAGGCTGAATCTAATAATAGGAAATGTAATAGGAATAGAAGGGAAGTCTTAAATATATGTTGTGAAAAAAAAAAAACTTCACAGGTGGCCCAGATGTGGCTATACACCTAGGCAGTGAGGTGGTGTGATGGATAGAGTTGAAAGCTTAGAGTCAGGAAGACCTGAGTTCAAATCTGGCCTCAGACACTTACTAGCTATGTGACTCTAGGCAAGTTCGCTAACTTCTGTTTGTCTCAGTTTCCTCAATTGTAAAATGAACATAAAAACAGCACCTGCTTCATAAGGTTATCATGACGATTAAAAATGAGATAATACCTGTAAGGTGCTTAGCAAAGTGCCTGGCACACAGTAGGCACTTAATAAATGTTTACTCCTCTAATTCTCCCCCATTAAACCCTACTTCAAATGCCATTTGGTCTAGAAAAGCCTCCCTGATTCCCCCTTACACACACACACACACACACACATACACACACACACACACACACACACACACACACACACACACACACACATTCTGGGTCCCCTCTCTTAAATCTCAGTCTTATCTGACAAGGCTCATATATTACATTCAGTGTAACTTTCCAATGTACTATCTTATACTCTTCCTACAGCTCTCGGTGTCTAGTGTCTAATCTTTCTCCTTGACTGAAAGCTCACTGAATGTTTGGATTCTTCTTATCTAAGACTTTATCTCTCCCTTTACAAAGCACAGACTTCTGAACACATTTCATGTTTGACTAATATTTATTTTATTGTATGAATGTATTGTTTATTGTAGGGGCAGCTAGTTGGCACAGTGGATAGATTGCCCCACCTGGAGTCAAGCAGACTCATTTTTATGACCTCAGACACCAGCTACATGACGCTGGCCAAGTCACTTAACCCTCTTTGCCTCAGTTTCCTCATCTGTAAAATGAGCTGAAGGAGGAAATGGCAAACTATTCCAGTATACTTGCCAAGAAAACTCCAAATGGTATCATAGAGTCGGGCGTGACTGAACAACAACTTTATTTATTGTATCCTTTCTAGCTCCAGCATAAGATGGTCTATGTTCCGAGGTCCCTTACAGTTCTGACATTCTTGAATCTCACTCATATCATATCAGCCTTCCTTCAATTTTCTGTTGCAGTTATGTTCAATAACAGTTTTTCCCATTTCCTTGATAGTGGACAGAAAAATTTTTTAAAAGAAAATACTTAGTAACGGATTAACTGCTCTATTAATGAAATATGATCAGTTAAAAATGGGTTCTAAACCTGATTCATGGTGAAATAGAGGCACTGATCTCTGAGATCCTACTCTGATACTCTTTGAATTAGAAAAATTCCATGTAGTAAAAGCTATTTTCAGTGATACTGAGCCACCTATTTTTCACTCTTTTTTCTTCTTTGATTTCTTTTTCTGAAAATGACCACCTTGCTTACATGCTTGGCACTGAGGACACCAAATCCAGAAACAGTACCTTCCTTTGGTTTTATTCCAATGCTAATAGTCCCTTTCCCCCAAAGTTGTCCTCTGCTTCTCAATACCACCCACCATCTGCTTTCTCTGCTTCTATTCCTAAACTGGGGAGCACAACCAGAGAGATTAATGAAGTTATCCTGACTGAGTCCACTCCTATCTAGCCACAACCGGGCTCTCACTGCTGCCCAGCAATCCTTTTATTCCTTTCTGCCTGACTTTATCACCTTCCAAACAACAATCATTCCAGACATGCCCCTCTCTCCTCAGACCTCTCATCCCTGCCTCTCTCTCTCAGCAGAGAACCCAACTTGGACACCATCTCTTCCTCTTTCTCATTCTGTCACCACAGACAACCATATTTTCTATTTTAGTAGAAACATCTACTGTGAATTCCTTAATTCCCTTCCTTTAGCTTTAAAACCTCTCTGTCCTTACCCATTCAGTCTTCCTTCCCTCAAACCTCAGGGAAAGAGCTAGTCTTCTCCCTTATTAAAAGTAAGCCCATTACTCCCTCCTTTCAGACCTTGCTCCTTCAAACATCCTCACTCTCATTTTCATTCTCCCCCTCTCTTTTGGCACCTTCCCCTCTGCTTATCAACATATTCACTTAGGGGTGGGGCCACCTGATGCGTGATTTCATTAATGTAGGGAATTCTCCTGTGAGGAAACTCTCTCTACCAGTGCAAATCAACAACTGTCCTACAACTTTTAGCCTTGGACAGTTGTTTGAGGCATTGAGAGGTTAAGGGATTTGCCCAAAGCCACACAGCCAATCTGTATCAGAAGCAAGACTTGAAGTTAGGTTTTCCTGACTCCAAGGTTCTCACTGTAACAAGTTGCTCATATCTCTCAAATGAGGAGGGAAGGGAGGGAGAGAGGGAGGGGCAAGTGGAATCTTTCCCATGGCCCTGTTATCATCCTCTCTCCTCCCATTCACTGTCAAACTTCTAGAAAGAATAGTGTACATATTGTGCTCCTACTTCTGCACCACCCACTCGTTCTTTAATATCTATATCTCCATGTTTCCCTACATATCTGCCTTTTCTTTCCTTTGCTGTACTGAAACAACACTCTTCAAGGTCATTAATGATCTGATTATGCGAAAATCTGATGGTCTTCTTTTCTGAGTCCTCGTCTTTCTTGACTGCTTTGAACCATTTGTTACTGCTCACCAATAATCTCTTCTTGCTCCACAATCACTCCACACTTCACTGGATTTTTTTCCTTCTCCTGGCACCTAAATATGTGCTTTTGGGTCCCTCAAAGCCACCATCTATTTTCTCTCTCTACTTTCTATTTTGCCCAACTCACCCAACCCCATGGCTTCAATTATCACCTCTCTGCAGATTCTCGAAGCATAAGTATATTGGAAAGAGCAAAGACTTTGGAGTCAGAGAATCCGTGTGACATTGGACAAAGAACTTGACCTCTCTGGTCTTCAGTTTCTTCATCTGTAGAGGAGAAGGTTGGACAAGATGACTTCTAAGGTCCTCTCCACCTCTAAATCTAGGAGTCTATATCCCTAGTTGTAATATCTCTTTTGAATTCCAACACCACATTTCCAATTTCCTAGTGAATACCACTGCTGCCTCCCACCTAGACGTACCACTGGCAGCCAAAACTCATCATGCATAAAACAGAACTTATCATCTTCCCTCAAAAAATCTACTCATTCTGCAAACTTCTCCTTTTCTATTGCTATCACCCATGCCTGAAGCCACCACCATCCTTAAATCCTCCTTTAATGCTCATATCCATCATTACACTTCATCTTATTAAAGAAAAGCCTCTAAATAAGGACAGAAGAAGTTTCTAATTACAATCTACCTATCTTTATCTATAACTATATTAACCCACTTTCCACTACCAATGTTAAGATAATTTCCACCATTAGTCACCAAGTCTTATAAATTCAGCCTCCACAGTTTGTCTTGTATCAGTGCCTTCCTTTCCATTGTCAATGCCATTATTCAATTGTAGACTCACGTTATCTTTCATCCAATCTACTTTTAGGAGAGATATAGTTGCACAAGTGCTGGGCTTAGAGTTAGGAAGACCTGGGTTTGAATCCCACCTTGGATACTTACTGTGTGACCCCAGCCAAGTAATTTAACCTCTTGTAGCCTCAGTTTTCTCACCTGCAAAATTGGGATAATAATAGTACAGAGCTGTTGTGAGGATCAAATGAGATCATGCATGTAAAGCATTTTGTAAATCTTAAAATATTATCTAAATGTTGGCCCATGACTTCCCAGACCACCTCTCTATCTCTGCCCCAGTGGTATTCTCACACTTCTCCATCCCTATTGCCTTTTCTTCTGTTTGTTGAGTTCCTCCTTGGACCTCCATTTGAGGAAGCACCTATAAAAATCATCATGCTCTCTTCAATCCTGGACCGATCCATGGGGACATCAAATCACCTTCCCATCTTCCTAGCTCCCTTTTATGCTTCTTCCCCCGTTAAAATGTAAACTCCTTGAGGGCAGGGACTATCTTCCTTATGCTTGTACTTATATTCCTAGCACTTAGTACAATGCCTAGCACATAGAAGAGAGAGAGAGAGAGAGAGAGAGAGAGAGAGAGAGAGAGAGA